TATTAGGCAGGATAAAGAATGGTTCAAACTTAATTATTGGAACAGCCATCTCAATAGGCAGAAAAAAAGAAATAATAAACCCAAAAAATATTGAAGGAAGAAAACAATAAAAAATATGAGTAGGAATTAATGAATTGGAAAGCAAATGTACTGTGAAGTGGATCAACAGAAACTAATATTTTGCATTTTTCAACATGACTGCATAACAATAGAAACTAGAAAAATTGGAGAGAAGAAAGACAAGAAAAATAAGAATAAAACGTCAGTGAGCTGTGAAACAACTCAAGGGCCTCACATACATATAATTCCAAAAGAAGATATAAGAAGGATAGACAGAAAAGATGAAGGGCCAGGTGTGGTGGCTCACCCACTCCAAAGTAGTTCCAACACTTGAGAGTCCAAAGTGGGCAAATCGCTTGACCCCAGGAGTTTGAGACCAGCCTGGGCAACATGGTAAAACCCTATCTCTACAAAAGATACAAAAATTAGTCAGTCATAGTGTCAGGCACCTGTCTTCCCAGCTACTTAGGAGGCTGAGTCAGGAAGATTGATTGAGCCAGGGAGATGGAGCATGCAGTGAGCCATGATCATGCCACTGCACTCCAGCCTGGGTGGCAACATGAAACCCTGTCTAAAGAGGAAAAAAAAAAAGAACAAAAGGGAAGATATGCCAAGTGTATAAAATTATAAACCCATAGATCAGGGAACTTTATGAGCCCCAAGTTGAAGAAAGAGGAAGAAAACCACACCAAAGCATATCATAATCAAATCATGGAAAACCAGAGATAAAGAGAAAATCTTGAAAAAAGCTGTCAAAAAAATGAAACAATAAATAGAGGAGAACAACGATAAAATTGACAGCAGAGTCTCTGTCGGGGACCAGCCCTGACATGGACCGTGAGGGTTGCAAGGGACTGTGGAGACAAAGAAATGAAAAAATACAAGTGAAGAGTGCATAAAGTGGGGACCAGGGGACCAACGCTAGTATGGAGGCTGTAAAGGCCCCTAGCTTGGTGCCCACACCATTTATTGGTGTACAACACAAAGCAAGAATGTGGTAGGGGTGTGAGGGGACATAGCTAGGGTGGTTAGGCATTTCCTTTGAGGCATATAGAACAAATTATATTCTAGATTTAATCATTAAATAAGATAGAGGGGTCGTAGATAGGAACCAGCAAGTCTGGTCACATTCTTGTGCTTCCAAGAGGCATTCCTCCCTTGAGCACAGAGCATGGTGTTCCATAAGCTCTTTCTTTCTGTGCTAGATAAACAGGTCATGGTCCTTCCAGCAAGTCTCATCAGGAACAACACATTCCAAAAAGCAATAAAGCAACATTTTTAGTACTGGAAGCAAAAAAAAAAAAAAAAATTCACCCTAGAATTCTGTAAATATTTTTTCAGACATATAAAAGCTGAGAAAATGCATTATCGGTAAAGACATTCAGGAAGAGAAAAATATGGTACCAGATGGAAATTTGAATCTAAATAAAGGCATGAAGAGCATTAGAAATGGTAAATATGTGAGCAACTATAAAAGACTTTTATCTCATTTTTAGTCTCTTCAAAAGACAATTTATTGTTTAAAAAAATAACTAAAACGTATTGAAGGTTTAAGACATACATAGAAGCAAAATATATAACAATGGCACAAATGCCAAAATGAGAGAAAGGTTATAAATATACTGTTCTAAAAATTAAATGCCTTTGGGAGGCTGAGGCTAGGTGGATCATGAGGTTGGGAGTTCAAGACCAGCCTGACCAACATGGTGAAACCCCATTTCTACTAACCGTACAAAAATTAGTCGGGCATGGTGGCAGGCTCCTGTAATTCCAGCTGCTCGGGAGGCTGAGGGAGGAGAATTGCTTGAACCCAGGAAGAAGAGGTTGCAGTGAGCCGAGATTGTGCCACTGCACTACTCCAGCCTGGGTGACAGAGCAAGACTTGATCTCAAAAAAAAAAAAAAAAAACTAAACTAAATGCTTGAGCAAAGTTTAGCTTTTGATTAATGTGATCAGCATTTTAAAATTCATTTGCATTTCATAAGACTTCAATTTCATATTTGAAAATCAAACTCAACAGATTGTAAGTTGCCAACCCCTTGACTAAACGTTGGGTCCTTACTAAATACGTAGGTTTGAGAATGGTTAACAAACTACACTGCTAATTTGCTATTTGACTGTCCTGAGATCCTTTATAAATTAAAGCTTGGCCTTTTCTCAAAACACGTGTTTCATGAAAATTATAAAGAGTAAACAGGAATAACTGAAATTGTCTTCATACAACTTTAGCCATATTCCATAGCACTCATCTTTATTAAGCTTTTGTATCCATAAAACTGAGTCCAAATTTGAAAGTTATATTTGCATAAAAACACTTTATCATTTTCAAAATAGCTTCTTGATTTCAGGAAAAAAAGGAATATGTTTTATGCTTGATTAAATATTTGAGACTTACAGAATTTTGTCCTCAAAATATCAATTTATTTATTCATATATATATATATAAATGTCCAGACTTCTTACAGTACTCAATAGAAGGATTCTGAATTGATGTGTTTTATTAAGATTCAGCTATATCTTAATGTATAGTTATATTTCTTTTATTAGGTGCCTCTAAATTATGACACATTTTTGAAGGCTAAAAAAATTCAAATAAAGGATAATCAGAAGGTTTTGTCTAATACAAGTTTAAATGTTTTTCTTCTCATTGAAGTCTATCAAGAAAGGTTATGGCCTGATAATAAGAGGAACAAGGATTTTGATTTTCCTTGTATTCTAATCCTCTAGCAGCTAATAGATATTTTAATTGCATCTTCCAAATGCAGCATAATGCCATGTTCAAAAGTGTTTTAACTAGTTATCATAAGTAGGAATTAATTACATAGCTTTCTATTTGGAACAGTTTAGTGGAAGGGAAAGCTGTGCATCTTACTGAAAGATGAAAACTAGAACAAACAGACCTGGCCTATAAACCTGGATCTCTCCTTAAGAAAGTAATTTTACTACTCTCAGCTAATATTTCCAGATCTGAAAAATGGAAATGTATCTCCCTTATAGGCATCAGCCAATAGTATATGAAACTGATCATAAAAGTTGCTTACAAATCGTAGCTATAATTGTCCAAATAGGAAATTTTACATAATGTATTCATTTTTCTTTAAAAGTTGAATTCAGGTAGGTAGACTGTTTAAAATCAATTTCTACTGTCATCCATTCTATTCATACGTTTCTACTGGTAAGCACCGGAATCACTTCTCTAAACAAGACAAGAAGTCTGCCCCCATGGAGTTCCTTTCTGATAGGAAATAATATTTTTTTAAAGACAAAAGTAAATACATGGTAGTAATAGAAGTGTTGTCGAACAAATGAAGTGATGAGACGAAATGATGTGAAAAGGTCTGTGGAAACAATTTAGTGAAGGTGGTTGGGGAGACTTCTCTGAATAGTGACTTCCGAGCAGAGTCATGACTGTCAAGAAAGAAAGAAGAGAACCCCAAGGCAGAAAGGGCCTTGTCCGTTCAATCCGCCACAGCAAAGCCACAAGGTGGAGTACACTGAAACAGGGCCTGAATGGTTAGAGGTGAATTGAGGAGCAATAGGGAGCCATTGAGCAGTGAAGTTTAAATTTAAAAAGATTTTTCTAAGCAGCTATTGCAGGTACACAGGAGAGAGATAAGGGTGCTGGGTGGACAGTAGCAGAAAAAGTGGTGAGACATCTTTAAATTCATAATACATTTTGAAACTAGAGCTGATAAGGGTGAGAAACATAGGGCACTCAAGAAAGGCTACTTACGTTTTGTTTTGTGCAACTGGAAGACAGATGGCACCATGTATTCATCCAAGAAAGTAGGGGAAGAGACAGATTGCCGGATAACAGTCAAGAGTTCTGTTTTGGGCATGTTAAATTTCAGATGCTGATATAGAGAGTCAAATAAATATACAAAGGAAGCAAGTGGACTTTTAAAATGTCATTATTGGGTTTCTATTTGTTTCAAAATTATTTTCTGTATTTTTCATGTGCCAAATCTTGTTTATGCTGGATGTACTTTAAGGTGTTGAAGTCATCTTTGATTATAATCCTCTCAAGTTACTTTCCTTATAGAAAACTCTCCTGGACTATATCATAAAATAATTCCTTAAGTTTTAAACGTATCTTTCTGAACCTTGCTGCATATTCCCCAGGTCATGAGATGCGCCATGTCTTAGTAGTATTACAACACATGGCAGCCCCATTCATTAAGCATTTACTGAAGGATTTTTGTTTTCTATGTTATCTCAGGGTATTCAAGGTGTGAGGTTGTACCAGATGCTATAAAGCAAGACTCAGCAAACTTTGGCCCACAGGCAAAATCTAATACTCTGACTTTTTCAAAATAAAGTTTTATTGGAACACAGTTATTCCCATTCTTTAGATAGCGTATGGCTGCATTCACACCAAAAGGCAGAGTTGAATAGTTATGATAGAGATTTATGGCCCACAACCTAAAATATTTAGCCCTTTAAGAAAAAGTTGGTTGAAACACTTTTTCTTAAAAACCTTCTCTGGGCCAAGCATGGTGGCTCATGCCTGTTATCCCAGCACTTTGGGAGGCCGAGGTGGGCAGATTATGAGCTCAAGAGATCAAGACCAGCCTGGCCAGCATGGTGAAATCCCATCTCTATGAAAAATACAAAAATTCGCTGGGCATGGTGGCGCATGCCTGTAGTACTAGCTACTCAGGAGGCTGAGGCAGGAGAATTGCTTGAAGACAGAAGGCAGAAGTTTCAATGAGCCGAGATCTCACCACTGCACTCCAGCCTGGACAACAAAGCAAGAAACCATCTCAAAAAAAAAAACCCTTCTTATAATCAGGAAGAATCATGATTTTATGATTTGAAAACAGTGAATCAGAAATGAGCTAAAATTTATACTCATTAACCAACTGAAACAATTGTGAGAACACATCTGATAGTCAACATTTAATTGTATTGATTTTCTTTTCTTTTTTTTCCCTCTAAAGCTGAGACTCAGAGTATAATTAAAACAATGGAATTATCAGGTAAGTTCTTTTTTTCTCTCTCTCTCTCTGAGTATCTTCATGGGTAAAATCTCAAGAATAAAACAAATTAGACCAATCCGTTTGGGGGCAGGGAGAAATAGTACAAGGGAAAACATTACATCACAAATAAAATGTTTAGAAAACCTTGAGTTTCAAAAATGCAGACCAAGAGAACATATAAAGACATGTCTGAATGCTCTGTGACTAAGGTGAATTGAGCCAGCTCTAGTGAACATACAAAGCCTGTGAGATTGCCCTCTGTCCTCTGCCCCGGAGCCCACTGTTCCTGATCTGTTTCTATTGCCAGTGTGCCCAGTCCCAGAAGTACAGTGTCTTCTCTTACTTTCTAACAAAATATGGTACTAGTATTCAAAAAGATGATGTTAGAAACCACAATTAACAATCTAAAATGTTATCATTCCAAGAAGTGCTCATATTTGCCACCCTTAGTTCTAGACTGAATGTGTTTTGGATAATGGAGCAACAGGAATTGAAGATCATTAGGCAAAGGAAGATGGCAATGTTGAATCTTGCTGTCTTGAAATCATAGTTATCTGAAAGATTTTTATCTTTCCACATTCTACCTGGTGCTTATACAAATGACAAATCTTATAAGCTCTCAATGCTGGTCATCTTTGATATATATAAACTAAGTAAAAACTAATACAAAAACAGAAAAACAAATTCCGCATGTTCTGACTTAGAAGTGGGAGCGAAATGATGAGAATTCATGAACATGAAGAAGGAAACAACAGAAACTGGTGTCTACCCGAGAGTGGAGGGTGGGAGAAGGGAGAGGAGCATTAAAAATAACTATTGGGTACTAGGCTTAATACCTGGGTGATAAAATAATTGGCAGAACGAACCCCCGTGACACGAGTTTACCTATATAGCAAACCTGCACATGTATCCTTGAGACTAAAAATAAAGTTTAAAAAAATGAAAATAAATAAATAAATAAATAATGTGAAATAAACCTATAGGTTCCTATAACTTTTTAAAAATTAGAAAAATTAAAAAAAGAGTGACTAAAAATTATGAGTGCTTTATTTTCACAGCAGATAGTCTATAATCACCTTAGTCTAACTACTACCTCTTGTTTTCAAGGAATTGGAAGCAAATTATTGTGCTTTTAACTTTTAATAATTATCTTCTATATCATACATCTCATTATTAAAGAAGTCATTTTACATGAATTCCATCTACTTCACTAATCACCATTTTTTATTGTTTCCACCTTCATAGACTAAAACTTGACATGCACTAGAGGAAAAACAGCAAAACAAAACAAAAGCAGTGCACCAGTCAGAGGAGACTGATGCAGTTCTGGGAAGAGATTTTTTTCCCTCTGCTTCATAGATTGACTATCAAGGAGAAGTCAGAGGTCATGAACTGGAAAGCTGCCAAATTGTCCATTCTTTTAAAAGAGGGACTGAAGCATCCTTCATTTTGTTTAAAGAAATTTTATTTACAAATGCCAGCTATACGTTTAATTAATTTTAGTGGAATAAAAAGCTCATTTTCGCTATTTTAATTTTTTGAGTTATGCAAGCTAATTTTCCTAAGCCAAATAATAGACAAACAATGTATTTGAATAGTGGATTCAAAAGAAATGAGACTGGATCAATAAACCACTAGAAAATTGAGTTTTATTTTTTTACATTCAAACTTCAAATATGTATTTCAGCTAAAGACTAAATGCAGATTCACCATTCCTCAAAAGATAAATTAACAAATTTATTAACAGGATATTCTCTATACTTCTGTTGACAACTCTAATAATTTGTGTGTTTTTTTCAGATTAAAGAATTCGTTAGTCTTATGTATTTGTCATCAAAGATATTAAAATGCCGAACTTGTGAAATATTTGTCCAAGGGATTAAGGACAGGAATATTATTAAAAATAATTCATATTTCTATTTTAGATAGAAATTGGCATAAAATTATAGTCCATAGAATTACTAGTTCTTTTTTCATTTTATAAATATAAGCAAATATGTATCCAGTCTTTGAATATATCACATACAGTTCTCACGTTTGATATTTTCTTCAACATTATGCTGATAGTTTTAATTTCCTTGAAAAGTTACATTTTTACACTACTTCAAAAACTATTAATAAGGGTCTATAAATTGATGATTTATATAGAACCTTTTTGGAGAGATTAAAAAACAAGTAAGGGCTCTATATGAAATGTAAGTTATGACCAGTTATACATAGATATCATATTTCAACATTATAAAACAAAAATAGATCCATGTTGGTGACATCAGTAAGATGGTCAACTAAACAGTTTCTACTGCTCTTCCCACTTCCCACAAAAACACTGAAAATAATGAATAAGCAACTACATTTTGATCAAAATAACTAAAGGAAATCTGGAGAACAGCAGCAGAAATCCTGTAGACTACTGAAACACAGGATGGCCACATAGGAAAGGAGAGGAAACACCTTGTATCTGCCATCCCATTTCCCTAGCTGGGATCAGCTCAAAACCAGAAGAGACCCCTTCCTGCAGGGAAAAGGTAAGCCAGAAGACCCCAACAGCTTTCATCAGTACCACAGTACACACAGTTTTTGCACTAGAGAATTCTGCATCCTCATAGAGTTTGAGGCCAGCTGAGGGAGCTACCCAGAGTCTATATACTGAGCTCTCCCTAGAGAAAGAGCTGATGCTGTGCCCCTCCCTCCTCTTCTCAGCCCCTACCCCTTGCCTCATGACTCATACTGCTACTGCCCTGTACAATCTTGGGAACAAGTGCATCCTGCTCCAAGGGTGAGTATTCATTGCACCCCCCATCCCTGATGTTTTGTTACCACTGCAACAAACCCACCCAATAGCACACCATCCTCCAGCCAAGCTGCTGCTATATCATACCCCTAGGGGCAAGTTCCATGGAACTACTCCATTCCCCACACTCCTCTCACCGCGGAGCTGAAATGGCACTTCAATACCTGGGATCTCAGATCTTCTACACACCAGAGCAGGCATGCCCCTCAATGTCATGTATGAGGCAGCATACCCCTCCACCATCATCAGGGTATCACAAACTTACAGCACACTAGAGCAGTTAACCCCCAGCCCTGACACCACAGATAAGACAGCACACTACCCACAGGGGCTCAGAGCCTTTTGCACACAAGAACAATTGCACACCCCAGTGCCATAGTTGATACAGTACCCTACCCTAAAGGGTTCCAGAGGCACCACTGACCCATAAAACCATGACTTCTGGGGCCAAACAGATATGGCACCTCATATCCCAAAGAATCAGTGCCTGGCTTGAGCTGTGCCACCCAGCCCTCCAGACCAAACAGCCACATGTCCTGCCTACCCAAAATTGGACTATATCCATGCAGTCTGAACTGCTGAGACATACTGCCTCTTAGGAGACTGAAGTCATTGTTGTGCTGGACACCTCCCACTAAGGTCCAAGCTACAGCAGTGTCTTGCCATTTCTGCATTATTGCTGCTGCTGTACCTGGCCTTATAGAGCCTGGGATAGTGGTATGTCCCACCATTCCAAGGTCCATAGTCACCACTACGTTGTATCTCATCATCAAGAGCCTATGCATTTGCTAACTTTGGTGACTCCTCATCCCATATTACAGCTGTTCTTTGCTCCCTGGACCCAAGCTTCTAGAGAACTCCTTTTTCTACCAAGCTATGCCAGTGGCGTACCATGTCCAACAGGGTCACAACCTCAGCTATATTTCAGCACTCTGGGCCTAAGCTGCTGAGGTATGTCTCACATGAACAGACCCTGGCTTACTGGGGAAACTGCATTCACTGGTGCCTTGGAAAGTGAACCTGGGCCTCAAGTCCAAGGTGCTACAGTAGTCTCACAAGACACTGAGCCTATGACCTATATCCACAGCTGCTCTGATCACCTATGCCCCGGCTCCCAGTGCTTCTATAGTTGCCTGTGGGCCATATTAGACCAAACAAAAAATAGATCTCTTCACCTAAGACTCCTCACTGTGGAACGGACAAGAACAGGAGAATTTTTAAGCCTTTGCCCTAGCAACCTATGCAGCTACCATCACGTCCACAAATTCCTAAAAACTAGACCACTGAGGCACCTACATTCATTGCTGACATTGAACACAACTAACAAAGCTGCACAAAGATTACCCACTGTGCCTACATGTAATCAGAGCCACCCTGCCCAACTGGCAGCCTAAGACCCAACTGCAACAGCAAGTAGTGGAAGAGGTGGCTTCGCCTACTAGAGTTTGAAAAAAGAAACTATATCTCTAAATGTCCCAACATCAATGCACAGAACAAGAAACATGAAAAAGCAAGGAAGCATGGTACCACAAGGCAACCATAGTTCTCCAGTAACTGGCCTCAAAGAAGCAGAAATTACACACTGTCTGAAAAGTGATTTAAAGTAATGAGCTGAAATGGGTGCAATGGCTCATGCCTGTGATCCCAACACTTTGTAAGGCCAAGGCAGGCAAATCACTTGTAGTCAGGAGTTCAAAACCAGCCTGGCCAACATGGCAAAACCCTGTCTCTACTAAAAATACAAAAATTAGCTGTATGTGATGGTGCACACCTGTAATCCCAGCTACTTGAGAGGCTGAGGCAGGAGAATCACTTGAATCTGTGAGGTGGAGGTCTCAGTGAGCTGAGATCACGCTACTGCACTCCAGCCTGGGAGACAGAGTGAGACTTTGTCTCAAAAAATAATAATGAAAATAAAATAAAATAATGAGCTGAAAAACACTTGTAGATTCAACAGAATACAAATAAATGATTTAATAAAATCAGGAAAACAATTCATTATATGATTAGGAAATTCAATTAAAAGATGGATCTCACAAAAAAAAAGAACCAAACAAATCTCAAAGCTGAAGAATTCAATCAAGGAAATAAAAAATATACTAGAGAACTTCAACAGCAGACTAAATCAAGCAGAAGTTTGAAATTACTCCATCACATAAAAAAGAATAAAAAATAGTGAAGACAGCCTATAAGACTTATGGAACACCAT